ATCCGGACGTATGGTAACCCTAACAAATAGTTGGGCACTTCAGTCTACCAGAGAAAGGTAGAGCATGAGCCAACGGTTGGAAGTTGCAGCTAGACAAATTCAGACTGGATAGAAGGCATACCTTTTCAATGGTGAGAGTAATTAACGATTAAGAATATACTAATGGTCATGGTGTTTTTCTAAAAGCTATCCTCTAGGAATTATTTTGGGAAAGTTCTATGTCTGTGTTATACAGGCAGTGAGACCAGGTGATCACCAGCTCCCTTCTGGCTTTATAATCTCAGAACTAGATACCTCAATTCACATGCAAAATTCTCATTGAATTCAATAGGTGTCCTTGCCCTGTGGCTTGTGGTGCAGGCTGCAGCAGGGGCCGTACAATCCCTCTCACAGCTTCCTAGCCCCCCCCCCATGGCTCTGTGCACTTGTGTCTGTCATTGTCGTCCTCTCCCCTCTCCCCACCCCGCTCGCCCAATGTGTCCTGATCTTTTACTCTTGCAATCTGGGCACCCTAGGCGCTGGGCAGCTAGACCCCAGCGGCAGCGCCTGACACCAATGAAATTCAACCTCCCCTGCCGTTCTCCCCCTGAGTGGCCGCGAAGCGCCACACGCCGGCTCCCGCTCGGATCCCTCACTCTCGCCCCGCCCCTCTGCAATCCCAGCGCCCTCTCTTTCCTCGCGAGGTTTTTATATTCTCGCGACATTTCAGGGCCGCCATCTTACCTGTTCGTGTTGCGGCTACGGGGGAGGGGCAGGGGCCGCGCGTTTGGGAGCCACGATCCGTCCGTTGGTACTTCGTTTGCCCGGGATTTTCCCCGTGTGGTCGGGATCTTCGGGGCTGTTGCGCCGAGCTCTCCGGGGAGGCTGCGGCGAGAGCGGGGACCCGCAGAGCGCGGCCCGCCGGGTTCCGAGCTCTCCGCGGCGTCGGGCCCCTGTCCCGTCCCCGGGGATCTAGACAGAGCCGGGCAGGCAGTTCGGGCGAGGGGCGCGGAGGACCCGGGACCCGGCCTGCGGGCGGGGCGGAACCGCCGCTGCTGCTGCCAGGGAGGCGGGGGGCCCGGGCCGCTCTGGATGGTGGCGAAAATGATCATAGAAAACTTCGAGGCGCTGAAATCCTGGCTCAGCAAAACCTTGGAGCCCATGTGAGTAACCGGGGTAACCCCTCCCCCGGGACACCGCTCCCCCCATAGAGCCCGTGTGAGTAACCGAGGTAATCCTCTTCCCCCCCTTCTCCCCGGGACACCGCTCTCTCTAGAGCCTGTGTGAGTAACTGGGGTAACCCGCTGGGATAATACCCTTCCTTTCTCCTCAGAGCCGGTGACATCCTCTCTATAACAGTCCATGGGGGTAACTGGGTAAACCCTGCAGCACTCCGCACCCCTCCCATATAGAGCCTGTGGGAATTACTGGGATAAACCTCCTAAAACACCCCCATCCCCCTCCGCTGAGCCTCTGTGCTTTGACAAATGCTCATCGGGTTTTAAGGGCTCTAAGTATAAGAGATGTGGGCTGAAAGCTCTTAGATGGAGGAGGATTCTTTAAGCAGCACAGTACCACAGGCAGCAACTTAAGTGTAGAAAATAATTAGAAATGTTTCACCAGAGTTAAGATTTGTTATTTTTATTTTTGAGTTATGTTTTTCAGGAAGCTTAATTTTTAATTTAGGATTGGTTAAAAACTAGCTTTGAGTTATTTTGTGTGTGAACATCCCTAAAAAAGGGGCAAAAGGCTTTGCTGGAGAAATGGTGCATAATTATAGTATGAGGCACTGCATTATATTTCTTATATGCACATAGAGGGAATTGCTGGAAGTCCTCTGAGGACTAGTGGCACTCAAGTGGGCGGCTACTCTATGTCCACAACACACATGTAGTCGTAGTAGCAGCTGCTGAATTGTGTTACCTCAAGCTTTAGCCTGTACTCCTTGACAAACCATCCAACTGGAACTGAAATTACCACCACATGGTAATTAAGAGGCTATGTGTATGGAAAGAACTCAAGTTAAAGGTAATCAAGTTATAATTCAAGTTAATTTTGCGATGAAGACACACTCTTAGATAGACCTACAGGACTATCTAGTTATGCCAAAACTGTGGAGCTGCCAATTCAGATGGTGCAAACGAGTTTTAGTCATCCTAGCTGCCAAAAAAAACCAAAAAACCCATCCCTCATAGCCCTGGGCTGTGTTGTAGGCAATATGAAGGTGGAACTCTTAGGACATGTCTACACTACAGACTTATGTCAGTATAACTACGCTGCTCAGGGGTGTGAAAAATCCACACCCACTTCTCCCGTCAACATAGCTACCACTTCTCATGGTGGTGGATCAACTACTCTTACAGGAGAAGCTCTCCATCAGGGTAGCACATCTTCACTTAAACACTGCCCGTACAAGTGAAAGTGACCCAATAAAAGAAATATTTTGATTAAAGCTAATGCTAAAATCATATAATACACAGGTTGAGAAAAGAGGGTCTGTGCATCTGGATATAGTGCTTGGATTATCCACAAATACAAAGGACTTCCAGCAATTCCCTCCGTGTGCCCAGAAAGGACAGAAGTTCTCCCACAATTCACTGGGGAAGAATTCATAGCGCCTCTCAGCTTATGCAGTGCAAAGACTGTACCATGAGATATCCTCCTAGAAGTCTTAGTGTCACACATGAATGAGTGTTGTGCCAATGTGTACACAGCAGCTCCAGTGTTGTTTCCCGGTGTGGCTGCTCTCACTCAAACTGGACTAATGAGGGGATTAACTTGGACATAGATAAATGGAGCTAACTATAGTGCAAACATACCCTGTGGTTAATGCAGCCTGTCTCCACCTGCTTATGAACTACAGCACCTCCTGGTCTTTGTAATGGAAATACTGTGTCTCCGTCCCTGCCATATCTCCTACACAGGGCTTGCAAAGGGGCCTTCAGAAGACAACCTTAGGTCAGTTCCTGTGGTTGGGGAGTCTCCTCCCTGACCATATCTCTGGCTTTTAAAGCCCCTTTGTGCCACTCCAACCTATTCATTTTTTGTAAAGGGGCTGAAGTGTAGGCGAGGATCTCATCATTAGTGTTTAACATCCACTAGAACCAAGTTCTGGTTTAGCAAAGGTCTAAGCAATTTTTATAGCATAAATATGCCGTGTTTTAATTACCTTCTTGTAAATAAAAATTAATTAAAATATTCTGTTGGCACATTGACTTTCCTCCGTACATGGTTTAAAACTCCCAGATATTTAATTTTTTTTTCTTTTGGTTTTGGATCTTTGTGCAGGCCTACTTGGGTTGCTAGTTCAGATTTATAGAAAAAGTTTACTGTTCAAAATGTGAATTAAAGTAGAGTTTATATGCCATAAGGGCATAGCCTCATAAAAATGGAAAGTGTTCCTTTCTCTGTGCTATGGGATTATGGTATTGTAACTACTTACTACAAAGAGAATAAAAAACAAATTGTTTAAACACCATTTCTAACTAATATATATAATTCTTTTATTTACAACATTTCATGGCAAAGAATCTGTCAAAGCACTCTGACCATTCATTATTAGTCTCTAAACAGACTTTCCTTCTTTCCATCATTTTACTGTCGTCCAATTCTATTTTGCTAGCTTTTCTCAATTAACTGTACTCAAATCCTTGCTCAGTCCCAACTCTTTTGTAAATTTGTAAATTAGGTGAGTGCTGTGGTCTGCCCCACTCTGTTGCTTAATAGAATTAGCAAGCCAACTGTTTAATGACCGTTAAGGTTGTGGCAGAATACCACCCAAAACATTAAAAGATTGGACAATCTTAAATTGAAAGACTTGTGCATCCTTTCTACCTTTGTATTACTACTATGCTAATAATTAACATTATCATCTAACTCTAAAATGCCTCGAAGCTTTCGTTTCAATCTCTGATAGATACCGAAAAGCGGTATGTACCCCAACTTCATCAAACTTGCATTGTAACACAGGGGTCGGCAACCTTTCAGAAGTGGTGTGCCAAGTCTTCATTTGTTCACTCTAATTTAAGGTTTCGCATGCCAGTAATACATTTTAACGTTTTTAGAAGGTCTCTTTCTATAAGTCTATAATATATAACTAAACTATTGTTGTATGGAAAGTAAATAAGGTTTTTAAAATGTTTAAGAAGCTTCATTTAAAATTAAATTTAAATGCAGAGCCCCCCCGGACCAGTGGCCAGGACCCAGGCGGGCAGTGTGAGTGCCACTGAAAATCAGCATTCATGCATGCCTACCCCTGTTCTAATGTAAACAGTGAATTTATATCAATACTCGCAACAGATCAGCACATCTGACTGTCTCAAGGCTTGTCTATACTTGCCTCTGTAGTGCTTCAGTGTAGGTAATCCACCAGATTATCTACACTGGCGGTAGCCAGATCGGCAGAGAAGTTTGTCTGTTGACCTAATGCTGGCACGGGGCCTTAGGTTGTCTTAACTACATTGCTCAAGTGTGTGGATTTTTCACACTGCTGAGTGACGTAGCACTTTTTAGTGTAGACCAGGCCTCATACCCTGTAACGTTGGAAAATTACTCTACATTAATGCTGGACTTTACTGGAGTGTGTCATGCTGCAGTCTTAACTTCCATTAAACATAGTTTTTGTTTGTTAATTTCCCGGTTTTATATACCTCTTTTGTGCACCTCAGTGGACAGCTCTCTAGCATCAGGAAAAAGGGAGCTGTACCTACTTGGGAATCAGGGAGAAACTGCTGAAGCTACTGCTTGTTTCCCCTCCTAAAGAGTGAGAGTGGCTGTGAAGTGATTTAATAAATTCTTTGTTTATAACACTTCATTTCCATTTAAAAGTTTACTGAAAGTGAGCACAACAAGAACAGCCCTGCACTTGAGCATTGACAACATAACTTGTCAATTGGAGGGAACCTTTGTGAAAGAATCTATCATTGCTCTTATCCCAAAACACACTCATGGATATCTGGAAATCGGATACAACTAAGGCTAGGTCTACACTACCCGCCTGAATCGGCGGGTAGAAATCGACCTCTCGAGGATCGATTTATCGCGTCCCG